TTTCAGTATTCACCCATAGTTATACTTTCTATTTTATGTTAATTTACAGACTGGCCTTGCACCCTAAGTCGCTATATAGGAGAGGCAAATTGGTTTGGGTTGGGGGAAGCCTGGAGCTGTATTTGCAAAGCAGTTTATATAAGATTTCTTATCAAAGCATGGAGAGAGGTACTTATAAATGAGATATTCGGGGTATTATGAGGTTAAAGCTCCCTCAAATCCTCCCCATGGTTGCCACTACGATTCTCAAGCAGTGTTTGTAAAATTACCTAAATAATGCACTAGTGCTACATTTTAATAGTCATTAAATAAAATCACCTATAATTTTGACTTGCATCAGGAGTTATGCATAGCATGCTTTAGAAGCTACTACTGTAAAAGATTTAAGGTACCTACAGAAATAGCTGACCTAAGAGAGAACGTCTAACAACCATTAATTGCTATGAGCAAAGTATAAACAAACCATGAAGAGATTCAAGGAGGGAGAAACAGCTTCCAGGAGAAAAGCACATATTCAATACCATATTCATGTTTACCTTGAACAACTATGACAAAGGGCTTTGGCACACTCTGCTTTCATAAACTGTGCTGAAAGACATTATCAACACTTCCTCACCCACCTCATCTTATGCTGTAAAACATCTGCTTCTTAAAAAAAAAAAGTTACACATGAACTCTTCGACTAGAAATAAAAAATGATGATTTTTCCTTTCAGGAGGAGGAAGGATGGAAACAAAACATGTCTTCTGTGATTTTACTAAAAAATCCATGGCTCATTAAAACCACATATTTAGTATGGGTAGAGAGAAAAAAGTGCAGGTAGCAAATAGGGGTTTCCCGGAGAAAACCATGCTCCTCTGTGAATTTGGATTAGTAATGCTATGCTATTGGCTGACTTTCGAACATTCTGTTCTATCTGAAACAGCTGGGACAGCGAGGAAGACTGTCCCTTTAGAAACCCAATTAGGCCTGATGAAAGAGGCCTTGCAATGCTTCTGCAGTCTACACAGAGACAGAGAGCATGTTGCATCAGATTCAGCTTTGAATTGACTTCTAAATATAAACTCATAGATCAGACTTTGTTCAGTGAACTCGGTCCGCTTAGTACAATGTTACATTATGCTCTCGGCAATCGTGGATGTTGGTCCTGCTGAAAACCCCGACAGGTTTCTAGAAATCTGATCATTTTTGGTCTGGGGACTGCCATGGGAGCCAACAGCAGGAGAAGGCTCTGGGCTGGGTGGTACCCTTGCTGCTAACCCTCCCCGCCACCAGCGCAGTGGCCATGCTGGATGTCTCACTGCCTTCCTACATCAGCAACATGAGAGAAGCCGGTTGCCAACACAGTTCTGCTATTCCAACAGTGATCTGTCTGTCAACAGTAATACAGTCGGGGTTCCACAGCTCTAATGCTCACAGCGGGTCTTCCAGAGACATGTGGCTACGACACTTCCCTGTACCTTGTCACCACAGCTCTTTTCAAAAGGCTTTGGGGCATCTTTCTCTTCTCTGAAACACCACTGCAGTCTGTTGAGGCCTCTCTAATAGCACTCTGCCCTTTCCTGTTTGCACTACAGTTGTTTGTGTGGAGGCTTTGAATTCCTAAGGACCAGTAATGATGTTGCTTGTTATTCTCTTGAGCCCCTAGCAGAGTGCCCGTGTACAGTAGAAACTCAATAAAGGCTTGCTGAGGGTTATATTAAAACACCAACAGCAAACATGAATATCCCACAATTAGCATGGAAGTTCCAAAAAGGCAGGGGAATCTTTATTTTGTTCAGTGACGTGAGTCCCATGCATCTAGTAAGTTCCTGGCACATAGCTGACACTCAATGAATATTTGTTGAATGAACGGATAAGCATTAAGACTTTCCAAAGAGCTTGGGCAGTATTTATTTGATTGGTAAATAACGAAGAGGAAATATTTTACCTATGAGCAAAGGAGAAAAAGACTAGATGGGTAATTTCTCCATTCTGTAGACCAGGGGTTGGCAAACATTGTCTGTAGAGGGCCAGAGAGTAGATATATTAGGCTTTTTGAGCCATACAGTTTCTGTTGCAACTACTCAATTCTACTGTTGAGAATGAAAGCAGCCATAGACAAGATGGGAAGAAAGGAGTGTAGCTATATTCCAATACAACTTTATTTACAAAAGCAGTTGGCAGGCAAGAATTGGCCCTTAGGTGGTAGTTTGCTGATCCTGCTCTAATCCATAAGGATTAAGACAAATTGATAACTATTTCCTCCTAGAAGACCATGCCTTCGGCATCTGTAGAAGTCCCGTATCCTTGCCTCTAACAGGTAGTACAGTGCTTTGCAATATGGTAGCTGCACAGTGTATGATTGTTGAATTAAACTAAATCCTACATAACCGATTTCCTAGACCACAGTTTTCAGTGGAACTGATGAACTCAAGTCCCTGTCTTGTGCCTCTTCTGTGAATCCTGTCCTGGAGAAACATGTGGGAAGTAAAGAGCTGTTGAAATAACGTCTTCGGAAAGTGGGGCAGCTTCTGTGTTGATAGAAAGAGTCCCAATGCCTCTTACTTGAAGCATTTTCTTCAGGGTATCAATGATCAACCGGAGGTAGCTCTTCTGATGGTCCATGAAGCAAGACACGATCAACAGCATTCTCCCTGCCCATCTGAACTCATGCTTGCTTTGAAGCTGCCTCCCCTGTCAGTCTTTTCAAATAAATAATTCTCATAAAAAGCATAGAAATAAATGATCATTGGTATCTACAATTGGCAAAAATGTGCTCCCACATTTTCCTCTCTAATGACTATAGAGAATGTGGTATGCTCATGAGTTTTGTGTTAGATCCCTGCATTATTTCAGGCCAGACATGTCACACATAGTGACAGTCTACATATGCATCACTGAAATGGATCAATATTTTTAAATGCTTAAATGGTATTGATGTGGAACGTGTCATCATAAAATGTGTCATGGCCCTTTCCTATACTTGCACTGTGTATTTGCAAAACTTCTTTCTCATGTTGCTAAGTATTGGCCTTACTTACAGGCCAGGCCTGATTTCCTCTTCAGCTGCAAATGTAATTTTAAAGAGGACTCCAATGAGATTACTTGCTGAACATGTTAAACATTCATAGCTTTGCCATATGCTGTTATGGAAATTGCACTGATTTATATCAATTTGGGTGTTACCTGATAGCACCGATTCACGTAATATCAAATCTAACTGCATTGGGAAATGATGTTTTAAATGTTTCATTTGCATCTAGACCTCTGTTGTACTAAGAGGCATGTAATGTGTTTATGTATTTTTGGAAACAACTGACTTATACATATTAAAAATATAGTCCTACATTTGGCGACTGCTAGAAAAATTAAGGTGTAAAAGTCCAAATTTACACTGTAATAGCCTAGCGGTCAAGGACCTAGATGACTGAAGCCAGACAGATTTAGGTTTTAATCCTGATACAATCATTTAATTGCTCTATAACTCTGCTTTCTTGAATGGTAAAAGAGGAAAAATAAGGGTGCCAACCTGACAGGGTTACTGTGCAGGTTAAGTGAGGTAATGAATGAATATGAAGCATGCGCCGCCTACAAAAAGAGCAATTTCATGTGATTGGCTCCATATTGAGTAGCTATTATTATTAACTATTGTTGTGTAAACCTTGTATTTCTGTTTAAGGTCAGCAGCACCCTGTGAGTGGTGGAGAAACACGTGAGTATATAGACCTGATGGGAAAAGGGAAGATGATGATAAGCGAACTTAAACTTTGCTATACAAACAACAAGGTCCCTACTACAATCCATATCAACCTATAAAAAACAAAGGGGAAAAGGCACAAAGTCACAGGATGCCCTCTTCACAATAAGGTTATTAATAGCATGGCGTAACTGTGTTGAGTTTTGTTTCGATGGGGGAAGTGGAGTGCTCATTTTAAGCACACTAGTGAGGACTTCCAGAAATGAACATGGTCTTTATATCCACTGAGCATTCTATCCAATCACATTCAGAGGAGGGAGAAGCTTCTTAGAAATAATTATGTTTGGCTGTAATAAGTGAACATACACAGTGTAATGAATATTCACACATATTGAAGTTTGTAAGCATATCGAAAAGCCAGAAGAGCCTTTAGCTTTTTTTATTTTTCCTAAATTGACTTAGAGTGTACATTCGAATACAGACGGAGTCTCTCTAGGTCAGTGTTCTCAATGGGGTTCAATTGTGCCCTCAAGGGGATGCTTGGCAGTGTCTGGAGACAACTTGGGTTGGGGAAGCTTCTGGCATGTAGTGAATAGACTCTAGGGATGCTGTGAAGTAGCCTCCAATGCATAGGACCATCTCAACAACCAGGAATTCCCTGGCCCAACTGTTAGGAATGACAAGGCTGGCAAAACCCTGCTCTAGGCTAATAACTGCTCAGGGTGCAATGGTGTTTAAGTCATCCACATCCACGTGCATCTTGGGGAGACGAGGGAATAGTGGGCTTTGTGTCAAAAGGGTCAAATCTTCCCAGTGTCCTGTGTTGGTTCCACCATAATGAACCATAAACTGAAGTAGTAGTATCGGGTTCATATCCGCAGGAAAAGAATGACTATAAATGCCAAGACTATGGTTTACAAAGTTCTATATGTTACTTGATCTACTGGGGACTTCAGCACTGAGAGTAGCTGGACTCACGCATAGAGGGAGGCAGTCATCCGCAGTAAGTCTTTAGCCAACCAAGAGACCAGGGGTTTCCCAGCTCAGGATTTCTTCATCATCATCAATTCCCATGGACAAACAACAATACTAAGCAACAATGACATAAACTTAAAGATTAGTTCCCAGGTAAACAGTTATAGGTACTATCTTTGGATTTTTATTTTCTTCTCCCACAAAATTGGAAATCTATCTCATATATCAGAGAATATCTTTTTGTTCACAAGTACCCTTACGCGAACCCTGCAGGAGTTGCTTAGAAGGCTGTAGCCATAAACATGAATAATGCTCAAAGACTGAACATGTATATAAAGGACATTACCTTGAAGCTTTTGATTCGGTACTTGGGGTCATCTTGGCACTGCTGAAGAGGTTCTCTGTAAGCTCTGTATTTGGAAGATCTCTCATCAATTCTCTCGGATAAACTGTGGGAATCCTGGAAAAACAACAAAGTGTCTAAACTGTCGATGAAAAAATATCAGTACTTTAAATTAGAATAAGAAAGTATTATGTAGATAATATTACAGGAGTTTGGAGAGATATTTAGAGGACTCATAAGTCCCTAATGATATAGAAGAAAACAGTCACTTTGAATGCTACCATGAAAATAACATAGGGTCCCATATTGGTTATCTACATTCTTTTTGCAACGAGTCCCTATGCCATTCTGAGATGATTGACACCCTTTAGTTGAAGGGAAAAAGGTCCAAAGATGGTAATTAAAGACATCATACAAGTTTTGGATTTGTATACTGTCCCTTGTAGTAGTATTTGGCATCAAAATAGTCTCTTGGTTAAAAAAAAAAAAAAGGAATATTACTTTTACAACTAGAGCACCTTTTCTTCACTGATTCTTAAATAACATTCTGCTTTTTAACTATTATATCACATAAATTTTAAAGCTTAAGTATATAATTTCCAGAGCCAGTCTTCCTTCCTTCCTTCCTTCCTTCCTTCCCTCCTTCCTTTCTTCCTTCCTCCCTCTCTTTCTTCCTTTCTACTTTTCCTTCATAGGGGGGTGGGGGTGGGGGTGGGGAGAGGATGGAACATAGCAAACAGTCACTGTAGCCATTTATTTAGCCATTTCCATTATGAATTAGAGAGAAATTAGAATAAAATGAGGGCAACTGATTTTTGTATGAAAAAAAAAACCATCTATGGGATTTAGTTCCCCCAAATAATCCCAAGAAACTTATTGAATGTTCAAGCTAGAAGAAGTATTAGAATTGCAAAGTTCTCACTTTTATATTTAAAGAAAACACACACACACACACACACACACACACACACGCACACACTACAAACCCAAGGTTAGGCAATTTGTGGTGGATTGGGCTTGAAGCCAATGTTATTTCCTTTCCACTATAACAAACACATAATGTTAAAATGTGA